ATGAAAAAATTTCATAAGATTAAACAATGAAATCGACAGATGAAGGTGGTTTGCACGGTTTATACAAATGAAGACGGTTTTCATATGATCACTCCTATATATATATATATATATATATATATATATATGTGTGTGTGTGTTTTTTTTTTTTGAATTCTATTTTTTTGATGTGATTGAAAGATATGATATATAAATGTTAATAAAAGTTACCAACTAGAAAGTACAACAGAGTAGTCTTATTGAGACTAATAACTCATAGCGAATCAAATCGAATACAATTATTTAAAATTAAAGCGTAAATTGTACCATAAAAATTGTATCCTGTAGGTTTTGCTGCAACCAGGCTCGTTCATGATAGTTTGTCGGTTGTGGGTGTACGTAAAAATAGTCTCACCGATAAGTACAAAAAATATTGTTTTTTAAATGTACGAGAGTACTTAAGATTCTCGTCAATATTAAGTATTTAAATGTAGACGTGAGTTCGACCATCTATTATGGTTGGTAATCCTTTCGAGTATATAAATTTCCTTAATTCATAACAAGAAACATGCATCATTTTAATTCAAAAATAGAATTTGTATGGAGGAAGTAATTTCTAGAGTCAATAGGAGATGAACGTTATTATGTTTTTTTGTTGGGAAAAGTCAAATGACGATTAGTTGGAATGTCTGAGAAATAATGATCCGTTGAGGCCCGATAAGAGAAAAATAGTGAGCGAGACGTATGATCCGAAAGCTCAAGCAGTAATTAGTTTGGCTGGTCACTTAAATTGGATTTCGTAACGTATAGTGGAGTCCCAATAAAAGATGAAGTCAGACAACGGATAAAAATAAGTTTAAAATCATAATATAATAAGTTTATATTAAGAGAAATACATGTAAAATTAACATGCCTCTTAAATAAACACATCATCTAGAGAAAAAAGTTACAATAAATATTATATATATATATATATATATATATATATTATAATCAAAATATCATTTATGATTATTTACAAAAAAGCTATAATGGAACAATACATGAGTTAAGTACTAATAGCTAAATACAGTGTGAAACTTATATTTCAGAACAACATTAGAGTATCGTAGAATTATCAGATACCAAAGAACTCTTATTCTTCTAGTGACGTTTCAAGGTTGTTAAAGTATATAAACATGTGTTCAGTATTCTATGGATGACGTAACATGATACCCTCGAAAAAGTCGTATGCAACTTTGTTGTTTATTGTATATGCTATCGACAAAGATTTGGTGGGCACAAAACCAATTAATGATTCTGATCTAGATGAGCGGTATATTCGAGATAAATATATGAACTACTTGTCGTAATATTCCATAAACAATCATTTAATAATTACAATTACATCAAAGACGAAACAAACTTGGGTTGCATAAAACCCTCGTAACCAGAAAAACCAAACTGTAATCAGAATCACACGCTCATTTTATTCAAACAAGAAACATGGAGTATGTATAACGAGTATGAAGCCATTTCCTAGAAGAAAACAGCTGTCTACCGGCTATCTAGCCATGGATCATTTATACGTCTCTTACTTCAAACACATTAGTACGAGCCTTAACAACGATATCATATAAATGCATCGATTTGAGCTTGTTGAAGTCCTTAGGGAGAGAAATGAGATGCACGGACGAGCTTTTATGAAACTGAAATAGATCAGGGTCATTGTAGTACCGCTCCCACCCCAGAGGCAAGAGCATTCTCTCGAGCATCTCATACGAAGTGACCACCTGATTAGTAGCTACATGAACCAATACCTTACGACGACTTGACCCCTGTAAAGAAGGGTTGTCCTGGAGTCGAACCACACCATTCTTGAACACCCAAACACCCGACATGTATGTATAGCAAATATATAGATATACAAGAGTGTGTATGTATATGTGAGTAATGGTTGTTTATATAGGGGTTGGGGTTAAATATCTAAAAGATCATATAGATGCCAAGTAAGGAAGAAAGTATTCGTGGGGACCTTTGGGAGTAAGGATGCAACCATGGCCATTGTGGTCTATAACACAAGCCCACGTGTGAATTGTGTGGGGGACGCCATTGGAATCCAAGATCTTTATTTGAACTCTTTTCTTCTTGTGGATAATTTTGATACGTATTCTTTTATTATGAGAAATTATAAAACATAATTTATTTTTATTTTACAATATAATACATAATTTATTTTGAAAATCTAACCATTTTATAGTTTCTTAGATTTATACTGTAAGGTGCTTGGTTAAAGGTATTAAACAGTAATCAATGATGATGATAATAAAAGAAACTGTTTGATTTTATATAATACAATGGATCTATTTCACCATGACCCTGGATTTTTTTGAACTGGTGCAAATGGAAATTCATTCCCATTTTGTTATCTGTCATTTTCATTCCCCAGTCTAAACCAAACAACCCCTAAAATGCTAACTATTTGTATTATATATATATATATATATATATATATATATACACACACATACACACATACACACATACATTAGAAGGGTACTCGTGCCATGCCGCGAGATACATTTTCATTTTAATGTTTTGTTTTGTTTTTCGTCTCTGTTGATATAATACGGTTTATGTCATTTTGAAAAAAGATAATGTTTTTACTTTTGAATAAAGTAAATCTGAAGACATCATAAAAGTTTGGAAAAATATATCGATATTAATATCAAATTAATTATTTAGAAATTCTCGTTTTTTGTACAATTTCTTTAATTCAATTTTTTTATTGTGTTAGAAGTCAATGATTATCTTAATTATATTTTAGTTTTTTTATATTTAAAATGAGATGTTTTATATTGTATTTGATGATGTTTATCTACACTTAGTTATAGGAATTCAAAAATTGAACTTTAATAAATTGTATTTATGTATAATTTACTTGTAATATTAAATTTTAAGTAATATGCATTAATACATAGTACTTCACGCATAAAAAACTGTTTTTAAGAATTTTTATCAAATGCTTTATAATATAGTATATATATATATATATATATATATATATATAATTTTGTTATTTTGTGTATTGGTATTAAAATAAAAAGAAAAAGAAAAAGCAAAGGGGGTTCCAATGAGAAGTGATAATTGGAATAAATCTTTCCAAAAATGGAAAAGGAATGGAGATGCATGATGATGTATTCTGCATAAAGTAATCCGGTTGGAGGGGCCTGCAACAGCAGATGCTTCACCACTTCACCATCATATTGGAGCCATTTGTCATCCATCTCTTTTTTTTTATTTTTTTGTTCTCCATTTTTTTATATGTCTATACATGCTCCATTAAATTGTTGTAAAAGAACGAGAATCGAAAAAAAAAAAGATCAAAAAGAGGGAGATCAATGTTAGGGGCTAACTGCGACAATTGGTCATACAGTGTACGCACAACAATGGGGCAATGAGGAGTGACAAAAGGAGCAACACCGTTATGTGCGAAGGATTTGATTGGCATACATTTGAGAACGGTGAAAATGATTTAATGATAATGTGTACAATCAGAGTAACTCGATTTCCATTTTTCAGTTTTAAAAATTTCGAGTTGTGTCTTAGAAAAAATTTCAATTTTTTTTTTATTAAAACAGTTGTTAAATTGACAAGATATGTATATGTTTGGTTTTACATGAGAATGCTCAATTGCAAGCATGACCCGTATTAAGTCTTGTTTAAGGTTATTGTATTGGTAAAAATTCACACCCTCGATCGACAAACATGTTATCCATGACCATGACATCCGTAACCAAGATTTATACGACCAACGATCTTGCTACCTATGATCGTGGTTATCTACAACCACATAACCTTCGAGTGGTCGAGGATTATCTATCCACAATCGAAGTTTGCCTCAACGTATCGAACTAACAATGCACATTACTGCATATTAATTATGGCAACCGTTATTTATGGTTTTTATTGCAGGAATAAAAAACAAATCTGGTCATTAACTATGGAAGATTACAAGGGAAGACCAAGATTCAAGACATTCAATCTTAACCATTTTCTTCATTCGATCACATTTAAAGTCGACCTTTAGACCTCTTAAACGAATCATTTATAAAATGCCACAGGATCTCAAGGAATACGCCCAGAATCTTCGGAAGCTATACGCAAAAGAGAAATACAACAACAATTGTTCTTGTAGTTTTCAGAGCCGACGTGTTAATTCTTTTATATCATTGTAACTGTCTACAATGATGACGTTCCTGATTGACGTCCATAGTGTATCGACGATCTCAAGTATCGTCTGAATAATATTATCATTCTAATGAGTTATAGTATAGTAGTTATCACGAATAACCGAACACTACTTGAAAACGACTCTTCTACTTAGAAATGAGGTCGCCTTTCATGTACCATAAGTTGTGGAATTGGTGGTGTGCGGTCCTCACAACTTGCAACCCCTGCAACTTATGCTACAGTAACATTAGGCGTACCGTAAGTGGGAGATACGGACACGGGCGACCCTTGAGCCGTGACCCTAGGGTCGCATGTCAAGGTCGGGAATATCAGCGTATTAATGACCGATTTCTTTAGACTTGGCTCATTTACTTCTCACCAAACTCTCTCCTTTCCTTTTCCCTTCATTTATTTCGAATCTAGAGCTCATTAAATTCCCATTTTGTTGGTTGTTGGGGCATTCAAAAACCTTTGGTCTCACATGATCCAAAGTCTCTCTCTCTCTCTCTCTCTCTTTATATATATATATATATATATATATATGCATAATCATTTGTTAATCAATTAAATAATATTAATCTTGTTAACCGATCTAACTCTTTCATTTTCCTAATCAACGGTTGTGAGTAATGAGATGTTATAATCTAATAAAAAAAAGAAACAAATTAAATTATATTAAATGAAGGGCACTTTTGAAACAAATTGTTTTTATTTTTGGAAGATAATCATATTTTGTTTTTGAAAGATAATCAATATTTAATGATTTTTAACTTTTGAAAGATATTCATATTTATTTTTGGAAAAGAATCAATTAAATTTTTAAATGATTTTTGTTTAACGATAAAATCAGAAAGTTCATAGACGAAATCGGAAATTAAAACAATGATTTTTGTATAAAATTCATAGGTGATGCAATAAAAAATAAATATCAATAAAAATTAATTTTTTATTACATCAATAAATATTTGATATTTATTTTTTATTGCATCAATTAGTTTTTTCTATTAAATTAATTTTTTATATCATTAGTAAAAAACAATTTTTATTTTGGATAATTTGGATTTTTTTTTGAAAAAATCTTCAATTTCATATCTGTTTTTTTTAAACGAGACTTCGAATGAAAAATAGATTTTATTACAATAATTAAAAAAAAACGAATTTTAGTTATTTTTCTATAATTATTTTGAAATTTTAAATATGACATGAAATATTAGTTTTAAAATAAAAAATTAATATGACGTGAAATATCTTAGTTGGCAAAAGATCTGGATGATGTCAGCATTAACAGGTCAACGGGTCAACTAGACCCTTAAATAAATAAAAAAATTATAGAGACCCCTAAATGACAATTTTGAAAGTTGGTTTCACAAAATAGAAATCAGGTGAAAGTTAGTTCCATTTTGATACAATTTTCCCAATTGAAAATAAAATATAATTGAAATTTTAAAAATCAAAATATGTTGTATTATTGATAATAAGTCGGTATGGTATAGTATTACCGTGGTACACGACTTCTAATATTATATAACAACCAAGTTTAAGTAGTTGGTACAACACTACCATCCAATTAAATTGATACATAAGTTGTTTGGTTTATCTTGGTATAAGATTGACACCCTAAATGTTACCATCCACTTTCTATCTTACTCATCAAAAATGTAATGTCACATAAAGCAAGCGCATTGCATGCAAAACCTGTCTCAAACATTTTGCAAGAACGCTGTTAATTATCTCATTGCAGATGGCTCCTTTTTTGAGGCATACTATAATTTTATACACGACAAATACTCATGCACATTTCTCACATTTGATACAGTTGAAATTAGTGTCCTCTTGAGAAACTGAGTTCTATTGGCTATCTAAACATCGTTAGACCCATGACTCTTTGATATTGCTCTGACGTTCAAAGAATGTTGATAAAATTGATGTTTAATCTTTTTATAATTTGTTGATCATCTCTTCAATGATTTGATGATAATCCTTTTTCACTTGTATGTTGTATTTATGTTTCTGTCTTTTCAGTTCCAGTGACCTTTACTGAATATGTTCAGTGATCGCTGAAGAACTTGCATAGAAAATCTATCAGAGACAACAATACTTCAAGAATACAACACTCACACCAAAGAACCTTCAGCAAACGTTGAAGACTGAAACTGAAGATTAGAGACTGGCGAGTACGTGATCTGAAGCGGTACTCAGTGATTACAAGCCCGTCTACATATGTGTGAAGACTGCTCAAGCTTCAGCGAATGATGAAGAGACGTTCAGGTCATTCCAGCATTCAGCGATCAAAGGAAGCTTGCTTAGCACGATTGTTGTTGTCTTGTCCTTTTGCACACAAAGGACAAAACCCATACCCTTATGAAAGTTGGTACGGTACGGAGCCGATTAGTCGACTCTATTGTCCACCAACTTTAGGTAAGGATGTCTGCTCATGAATAGTGCCTTTTGTACTATTCACTGTAGCAAACTACAAGCCCTCCTCTTAAGGCTTGACACGCACTCTAACCCTACCATATTGCATTAAATGTTCATTTAATGCACTAGATATAAATAGAAGTGTTTCCTCTCCATACAAAGTGCGCACAACTCACTCTCTAACCCTAATTCTTACTTCAAACATTTTCTAACTTAAGTAAATGATCTTCTCTTCAGCAGTTCTTTCTTTGTATTTGCTAAGACTTTGTATGTAACAAA